AAAAAAAAAACCCACAGTTAACGTGCTTAATGATCAAAGAGTGGCTGGTGGTGTGGCTCAAGTGGTAGAACGCCTTCTTAGTAAGCACGAAACTCTGAGTTCAAACCCCAATACTGAAAAAAAAAAAAAAAAGAGAGAGCGACAATATTAAGAAAATAAATACACAAGCCATACAGGAAGAAATATTTGTAAAATATATTTGCTGAATGCTGGTGGCTCACCCCTGTAATCCTAGCTACTTGGGAGACTGAGATCAGGAGGATCAATTTTTGAGGCTAGCCTGAGCAACTAGTCCAAGAGATTCCCATCTCCAAAATAACCAGAGCAAAATGGACTGGAGGTGTACCTCAAGTAGTACAGCGCCTGCTTTGCAAGTGAAAAGCCCTAAATTCAAACCCAGTCCCACAAAAAATAAATAAAAACTAAGTTAGCCTGGCACTGTGACTATAATCCTAGCTACCAGGGAGACAGAGATCAGGAAGACTGAGGTTAGAAGCCAGCCTGGGCAAATAGTTTGCAAGACACCATCTCAAAAATACCCAACACAAAACAGGGCTGGCAGAGTGGCTCAAGTGGTAGAGCACTTGGCTAGCAGAGTAAGGCCCTGAGTTTAAAAAAAAAAACAACTAAGGTATAGTGACAGAAATCACTGGTACCTGGGGGTAGAGGAATGGGGAAGAAAAGGATCTTTTGAGGGTGCTGGATATTTTCATTATCTTGGTTGCAGTGATATCTCCCAATGTACATGTATGCGGAAACATCACATTTTGGGTTCAAGTTGTAACTCATTAGCAGAGCACATGCCTCAGCGACATTGACTTCACATCAGAATCATTTCAGCAGTTTTAAAAGCTTTTAAGGCTCAAGCGGCAGAGGGAACATGATGGAAAAAGAATGGTCGATGGATACAGAGCGGCAGTTGGATAGTGACAGTAATGTCTAAAGTTGTCCTTTAGCACAATATGGTAACTATGGTTGACAGTACTCATTTGTATATTTCAAAATAGCTAATAGAATATTCTCAGCACAAAATGATAAATGTTTAAAGCAGTAGAGTTACCAGTTTCCCTGATCTAATCATTACATATTATGTGCATGTAGTGAAATACCGCACTGAACCCCACAAAAAAAATGTACAATTAGGGCCAGACATGGTAGTACACACCTGTAATACCAGCTACTTGGAAAGTAGCCAGCCCAGGCAAAAGCATAAGGCCCTATCTGAAAAACAAAAAAACAAAGAGGGCTGGGGTGTTGCTCAAGTGATAGAGCACTTGCCTAGCAAATTCAAGACACTGAGTTCAATCTCCAGTACCACCAAAAAAAAAAAAAAGTATAATTATTCTTGGTAAAGAAAAAATTTTAAAAATATTTTTTAAAGTGCTATGGCTCATCTGCACTCCAGATCTATAAACTGAGTATCTCTTTGGGTGGCATCCAACCATCAATATTTTTAAACTTCCAGAAGAGTCCAACATTCAGCCAGCATTGAGACCTGGTAGATGGTGGACGTAAGTGAATATGAAAAATGTAAGTTATATGGAAGTGTGCAGGGTGTGAGAAAGAACCAAAGTGTTAATAAAATGCAGAACATGGAAAGGGTGCCCAAGGTGAAGAGCTTCCAAGGGAAAGTGGGGTCTGGGGTTAAGAGGACCACGGTAGCAAGGAAATAAAGAGTAGAACCAAGCCATATTTATAAAAGAAGCATGTGCAAATTGGAAATTCATTCTGTCTCTCATGAAATTGGGTTCTGGGTGTATCTTGAGGAGATGGGGGGCAAGTCACCCAGACTGCTGACTATGTGGGTGTTAGTTCCTTGGAAACCATGGTCTGGGAGATTCCCACTGTCTTTAAATTATCCCGAAGTCCTTTAAATTACTATGTATTCAGAAAACAAAGATAGGCTCCCAGCTCTGGGATCTAGGAACAAGCATAAAGAACACAAGAGAGTGAGTGACCTCAGTTTTTCCTATAAACCAGAGGCTCTAAATTTGAGCTGATTCAGAATCACCTGGGGACCCCATTCTGGAGTGGATCCCAAGAATCTTTTTTTTTTTTCCTTTAGCCATTGTGTAGCCCAGGCTGGCCTCAAACACAGCCTCTTGAGTGTTGGGATTACAAGTGTACACCACCACACTTAGCTTAAGAATTATTTTTTAAATAAACTTCTCAGGCTCCCAAACTTTGAGAACCACCAAAAAAACACTGAGTAAAGATGACACCTACTGAAATCTCCCAAGACCCACCCGGTTTCCAAGTAAGTGAAGCGTGATAACGTGTTTTAATTAATGAAGGGTTTCTAATCCCAGTTTATTATGCAGAAGGCAAGGGCAGGATAGGAAAGGAAGATAAAATGGTACCTTCTATACGGGAAAGGGAAACTCAGGGGCCTAGGCTGAAACCTCCTCAACTGCTAATGCTAACTGCTCAGCAGGATCATAAAACCAAGGCCAGCCCCTTAGTAGCAGTGGGACTTCATTACACACCCTCTATGTCTCAATGAGAAGTGAGTCTCAGGGTCCCTTGATGTTTCTGCCACCCCCGCTCATGTTGTCATGGAAACTTCTTTGTGGCTGGGCCCCTAAACACAACAGCCACCCTTGGCTGTGGTGGGGCAGCCAAAACCCTGGAAAGGTTGTTGTGGTAGGGGACTGGAGTCAACAAGTAAGTAGCAGAGGGAGTGTGGAACAGCAGACCCTTTACCCAGGAAGCCCACTGGGCTGGAAACATCAGTGGACCAGGAAAGATGGGAAACTGCCCGTCACAGTGTCCATGTGGAACAGAGGAAGGGAAGAGATGAAGGAAGGGTACAGGTGAGCAAGGAGGACAAGAGTCCAGCCAAGTCAGGACAACTCCCATCCCTGCCCTTGGAAGTGCAGGCAGCTACTGAGTGAAAATGGTCATGTTCATTGGTTAAGCAGAGGGAGGGCATAGTCGATAACGATGTTTCTAGAAGCCACCACTCTCAGGGTCACTTTTTCTGAGGCCAGTTTCCTCCAAGACGGCTGTACTGAGAATCATCATGATCTTGGAGGGGCTAAAAGGTAAGAAGGGGGACAGTGAGGCATGGTCAGAACATTGCTGAGAAGAGCCCCAGCAGGCCCCAGAGATGAGAGCTTATGCCTGACCTCTCCAGACACCCAGTGATGAATTCTCCACCAGGATCCCACATCCATGCACACAATGCCTACTGTCAGCCTCTCCAACCCCACTCATCCCAATTCTTGCCTCCTTTCCCTCAGGACTTACCTGATACAGCTGCTCATTCCTCAACAGGTCTTGAGTGTCGGCCACTAGAAGAACCATGGAGAGAAAGTCATCAGGGACTGGGTAAGATGGGACCATGAGAGCCATGAACACTGCAGGCCGCGTCCTCCCACACCCTCAGAAGTCCACGTGAGCAATGTACATACTCAGTTCTTTCAATCTCCTGAGATAGGAGGCCTTAGGACATTACAAGAGTGACTCCCAGTGAGACGGAATCTACTACCAAACCCCATTCCTCAGCTGGTGCATGAGCTCATACACACACACACACACACACACACACACACACACACACACACGCACACACACACACACACTGCCCTTCCACTAACCCCCAGAGAGCCTTCCAGTCTCATGTCCTGCAAAGCAGTAGACTCCCAAAGCAAGGAGCAGAGTAGCAATGATGTCAGTGATGATGATGCCAGCCAGGGTGGCCAAGTCTACTTCCACACAGCTCTGGCACACTGTGGAGAAAAGGCGAGAGGAGGGGTAGAAAACTTTCAGATCAGGGAACTGTCTCTGCCTTCTAGGATGGCCCTAAGATCTCTCATGCCAAGACCCAAACTTCAGTGAGACCCTGATGGCTTGCTATTTCCACCTCTATCCTCTACCCTTATCCCAACAAGTCACTGAAGAGATCCAAGAAGTGATCTTAGCTTTATAGGACCTTAAATGAGTGGTAGACTAAGCCCCTCTCCCACCCCAGTCTGCAGGGACAAGGTTTGCTCAGTTAAGCTCTCTCCCCACTCGGAAACTCCCCAAATTTACCTTAAAGAATTACAAGAGTAACCCCAGTTTGTTTTGAGAGAAGATTAATTCACCACACTCCCTTCCATCCATCACATGCAAAGTCCCCACCCACTCCACCCCAATGGATCAAGGAGCACATACTTCGAAAATAAACTTGCAAAGTAGATACTTCTTTAGCGAGTTCCTCTGTCCCATTACACGTATATGTTCCTCTCGGGTCCAGGATGCGTTTTCCCAAGTCCAGATTTTTATTATGTATTAACTGTGTTCCCACTGTTCCCTCTAGCCACGTGACGCTGGTATTACAACTCAAAAATACTTTGTCCTCATGTTCTGCTACTGTAATCTTGAAGAGGCTCGCTAAAGGGGGAAAACACCATGATCAGAGACAGCTCTTTGGTCTGCACTAGACCCATATGTTAAGGATCATACTTAAAGACCACTTTGGAAGTCTAGGTCAAGACAGGATTTCTAGTGAGAGGCAGGAGTGACAAGAAAAAGGCTTCAGGACATTCCCCCCATGAACTGCAAGAGCCAGGAAGGACAGAAGGGTGCAGTCCAAGCAGAATATCGGCCCTGTAGGACTTGGAACAAAAGAAAATACAAATCTGGGTTGATCAAATAAACTTTTTTTTTTTTTGGTGGTACTGAAGTTTGAGCTCATACTTGATAGTCAGGTGTTCTACCACCTGAGCCATTCTTCCAGCCCTGTTTTGTGTTAGGTATTTTCAAGATAGGGTCTTGCAAACTATTTGCCTGGAACTGGTTTCAAACCACAATCTTCCAGATCTCTGCCTCCTGAGTAGCTAGGATTACAGGCATAAGCCACCAGCACCGGCCTCCAAGAACCTTCTTGAAAACAAGTTCAGATCACTGATTAGAAGTAGGAGGGAAGCACAGACTGCTGAAACTCCCAAGAGACATGGAAAGGCAGAGAATGTTCCTAGGTTGGAGATGTCTGTGTGTTTCATACTAAAAAATTTCTAATTCTACCGCCCAGCCACCTAGAACACTCCCACTTCAACTTCTCCTCCTCTTCCTTCCCCATTGCCCCATTCCTGCATCTACCAAGGAAATGGGACACTCACTACTACCATTCAGACTTACCAGGGCAAATCTCATGAAACAGATTTTTAGTCATTTCACACTTGCTCAAGGAAAGAGGAACAGGGAAAAAAATGTATATCAAATCTGTTCTTGAGGGTCTATACACAAGTCAAGTCTTGTGAGGAGTTTAAGGGTCAGAAGCAAGCACCTTTCTTTCTAAACCCACTAAATTGTAAATTGCCTGAGAGCATCTCCACAGTCCACAGAGGCACTGGTATCCACACCACCGTCCAGGGAAAGATGGAATCTACGTTCTCATTGAGCTTCATCCTATGCCACTAACTTGGACACAAGAAAACTCCAAAATAGCTGTGTCCCCTTCATCTGACACAGGTCGGGAGTATATGTGTGTACACTCAGGGAGACATATGTACATCAGATGTTCCACCTCTTACAGTCATGTCTTCCTTGGAGTTCCTTCCAGTGGAACTCCTCGGTGTCCCAGTTTTCTTGAGACTGAGAGGTTTCCTGGGGCATAGGATTTTAAGGATTATTGTTTTGCTTTGTTTGTGGTGCTAGACATCTACTAATGAGCTATATCACCAGCCTGATTTTCAATTTTAAAAAACCAAGCAGCTAGGCACTGGTGATTCACGCCTGTAACTCTAATTACTTGGGAGACTGAGATCAGGAGAATCAAGGTTCAGGGTCAGTCAGGGCAAATAGTTTGTGAGACCCCCATCTCCAAAACAACCAGAACAAAAGGAACTGGATGTGTGGCTCAAGCAGCAGAGTGCCTGCTTCTCAAGCATGAAGCCTTGAGTTCATATCCCAGTCCTACCAAAAATAACAACAAAACAGGGAAACAGGAAAGAGTTGGCGACTTACTGACTATGCGATACCTCCCCCAATCTACCTTTCTTTCTACTTAACCTAAAGTTAACTTTTTTCCTAAAGCATTCCCTGAGCCCTGAGACATGGCTCCAAGTATCCACACAATAATGGCCAAACGACCAATATCCTGACCCAAAAGGCAATCTGCTCTACAAAGAGCAATTCATGTGACTCTGCTCCCATTACCAGCCCTACACTCAGGCATACACAATACTGAGCCATTTCCTAAAGACCTCTGGCCTTTGGAGAGATATTTAAAGCCAACATAAGCCCTGGCTGGAATAAGTCAAAGCCAAGTACTTGTTTCCTACATGCCAGCCCTGCCCTGGGGTACCTGGTGAATTGAAGGCAGTGTTGAGAAGTAACTTCCAATGGACCTCACTCTCGGTGGTAATGCCCCTCTCAAGCCCCTTCCTCTACCCACACAGAGATGCCTTACTTACCTTGAGGGAGAAAGGCAACCAGCATCAGACCTGCCAGAATCCTGCTATGTTCCATCTTCCAGCAGAATTCATCTAGCAGACAGTGCCAGGTCACAGAACTATCAGCCAGGGGAGAGCCACCCTCCGCCAACTGACTCATGGGTATGCGGAAAAAGAACAGACTGGGGGAGGAACTAGAAGATGTCTGCTTCTCTGCTCTCTGCCTTTGATGATGGGAGACTGTTAGGGCAGGAGTAGGCTAGGGGTGCAGGAGGAAGGAAGCAGGTGCAAATTGCTCTTTCTAGAGCACAGAGCTTAGTGGTAGGGCAGAAGGCAGAGCAGAGAATACAGAGAAGTTTGCCTGGATGTCTAAGAAGTGAAATGAGACTTATAATGGCCTTTCCTGAGTCACTGATGAAAAACGGGAAACCTCAGAGTCCCTGTTGACAACATAGCTACCTGTACTTACCACCAGGAAACTACCACCTCTCAAAGCTCCTTGAGAGAAGCTATAAGCCCTGTTGCACAAGCCATATCATCTAAGTTCTCCTGTTGCTGGTCTTTCCTGGGACCCTCCCCAAGGGCAGCCTGGGACATCAGATCTAGCTGTTTCTAGCCAACAGGAAGTTGGATTTCAGAGACTCCTCAGCCAGGGATTTGAATCCTGGCTCCAATGTTAGCATTCATTAGGCCAACCATGGAATTTTTCAGAGTCTGGTTCCCTCAGCATCATTATATGGATATGAAAAAAGAAGTGTGTGCATTGTGCCTGCCACATCAAATTGCTCAATATGCGGTACTTATTAATAACAATATAATTGACTTCCTGGCAGAACTTAGCCTCCCCGGAGACAATGGATTTTTCCACCCATGGACTGAAACTCTCCATATTGCCACAATCAGGCTGTCGTTTACCTAAGGACAGAGCTGTGTCTGTCTTGCTCTCTTCTGTATCTTGTGCCAGAGGCATAATAGTTGCTCTGTTGATTTTTGTTGACTCACTGACTGATTGACTGAGGGACACAAGGACCTGCGATCCTGGAAACTCAACCCCGGCCTGTGGAATATGCTGTTTGTCCTGTTGGAATTGTCCCATCTCCTTCCTTTTGGGTAGGCACCACTATGAAGACCTCAAAAGAGCAGCCTGAAAGAAGGCTTGGATGAAGATACTTTTTCATTCAGAGCTCCAGCTCCAAGCACCTAAGAATCCCATCTAAGTGCATTAATTCTAGCATCAAGTGACAAATGGCCACAATCCTAGCAACAATAGGAGGCAGGGACATTAATCTTGCTCATGAAGAAAGGGGCTCAGGATCATCTTCCAACCCAGCATCCAAAGTGGTTCTCAAGGGGAGCTGAGTCTCTGAGTGGAAGCACTCAGCACGGTCTCCGTCCTCATCATCATCACCATCATCATCACCATCATCTTGCACTCCTAACAGAAAAGCAAAAGGTAGATGCACCTGCAGTCGTGCTGAGGCCCCTGCTACCCACACTTGAAGCAGAGAGCAGAGGCTCTGGGTTTTTGCCTTCACACCAGGGCCCCAACAGGAGGATGCTGGGCGGAGCCAGGCTAGCTGCTGCACAGACTGGCTGACTGGCTGCTAAGGCCTGCTCCACACTTCTGCTGGGGAAGGACAGAGAAGGACATGGAGCAGGGGAAGGGCCTGACTAGCCTCATCCTGACTGTCATTCTTCTTCAAGGTAAGAGCAGACTTGTGACCAAGTGAAGGGTCCATGGGAAGAGGCCATCACCAGAGAAACAGGGATACTGAGCTGACTCTCAGCTGTCACCTTAGAGCTCAAAGAAGGAAAGGCAAAAATATAACCTTTTACTGTTCTCTGCTGGAAAAAAAAAAAAAGGCAAACAGTGTCCTACAAGGACAAAACAGAGGCTAGATAGAACTCTGCTGCTGCCACCATCTTAAACTTGAATGTAGCCCAAAAGATCCCCGGCAAGGAAACTGAAAGGAAAAGGAAAGGTACTCAGTCACTAATCCAGAGCTGGGGTTAGCAGTAGACCTACGAAACATTCACACACACAGCTGCTCAATTGGTCAAATGGTCAGTATGGTTGAAATCCTAACGTATAGTCCAGAAGATAAGATGAATAGAAGTGTTCTTCTCTGAAAAGCTCATATTCTAATTAGAGAGATGCGTTTCAGTTCTACCACAGTGAATATAAAAGTGCAGCATGGGGTGCCTGTTTGAAATATCTGACAGGAAGTGGATGAACTAAGCTGATATCTGAAGTCTGGACACTTTGGGAGAAGCTAAAACCATACAAGTTCTTGAAATCACAAAAGTACCATGTGATGTGTTAGGAAGAAGGGTCTGGAAACGGAACTGTGAGACACCAGGCAATGGGAGAAAGAAATTTCAAGAAAGACATAAAAGGATGATCCAAGAGCTAAAATGATCAGATGAGTGTAAAAGCCTGGAAACTAAGGGAACAGAGAGCTTCTAGAAGGGGAGAATTACCACGACTCTAAAATGTTAAAGACAGATCACTAATATAATATGTTTTAAAATATAATAATATAATATGTTTACAATTTAAGTTTGTGAGAGTTAGCAAAAGAAAGTTCATGAGTGATTTAAACAGTTTTAGTGGGGTTCCATGAGTAGAAGTCAAATGGACAAGTAGAAAATGAAGGCAGGTGATAAAGAGCAGCAAGAGTAGAATATTCTAGAAAGAAATTTGTATGAGAAGGCTGAAGAGATAGAGTGGCAGGAAGTAGAGTTTAAGAAGAAATGTTTTTGAGGGTGGAGAACCTTGAGCACATTTTTACCTAAAGGTGAATAGAACAAGTTCTGGAGGTATAGGAAGAATGAAGCTAAGAATGGAGTCAAGGCACAGAGGGGAAGTCAAAGTAACCTGCTGAGACTAACAGAAAGGGAGTGAAGATGGCTTGGGCCACAGATAAGCTTGTAGGTAGATAGGAAGCTGAAGGGAAAAGGGCCATGGCAAGAAGCAATGTCACCTGCTAAAACTCACGAGCTGGGCATTGGCAGAGTAGGAGATTAAGAAGACTGTGAGAATTTGGATTTAATTCTGAGAGGAAAGGAAGAAAGAATTAGCTAAAAGACAACACGGGTTGGAGGACAGTGCTAAAAGTCAAAGCAAGGCTCCTGGATATAGTGGAAAGAGCACTGGGTTGAGCAATACAAGAACTGGGTCCAGCTGTCGCAAATGAGCTGTGCACTTGAACAACATCTCTGCCCTCTGACCTCAGCTCTCACACCGACCAATCCAGAAATTTTGCCACATGAGCTCTCAAGTCCTAGGAGGAATCAACACTCAGATATGCAAACTTAAAAGATGTCAGCAGTCAGTCCCACTTTCTTTCCTATATAATGTGAGTTAGAATGAAGAGTCACCTCCTGTGGTAACCAATTGGTTAGGGAGAAAGGCTATTAAGAAATCTGTTTGTCAGTTGTGGCATTTTCCTCATTTACTCCTTTATACACTCATGCATTTGTTCAACGAGTAGAAACCTCCTCCCATGTGCTAGACACTGTGCTGGGAACTATTCATAAACAGTTCAACCCTGTATGAGTTCTAAGACAGTTGACTTCTTCCAACTATTACCGTCATCTTTGAACTCATGACCAGATCTCTCCCTGCCACATGCTCTACCTCTAGCCACACTACTTCCCTTGTCCTTTTCCAAATCTATATCTTGGCTCAGGTATTTTTTCTACCCGAAATGTCTCTCTGTGTCTGGTGAGTTCTTACTTGTTCTTCAAGATTCAGCCAAATGTCATCCCTTCTATTAAGCTTTTCTGTTGGATAGAATCAATAGCTTCTATTCCCTTTCATATTCATTCATGCAAGTACTAAAAGATAATTTGTAAGCTCAACTACATTGATTATATGTGTTTATTTGTTTCTACTCCATGGTAAATTCTTTGGAAGAACAACTTATTTATCATAACCCTACACTTTCTTTCACAATGCCTAGTCACATCAGATCACAATGGTGCTCAGTAAACATTTGGATTAAGTCCAATTGAATTGGATTCAATCCTACATCTCTGTAGCTTTCTATCATTCAAGTCTACTACTCAGAGTTTGGAGTCACATTTTAGGGCTAATTAAATAGCTAACTTTCCAGGGACACGTGGGATTTCTATAAGAAATGGGTTGTCAAGGCTGAATATCTCAGAAACAACTCAGCTCTAAAAGGCTGTGGCTAGGGTATACTCACTCCTTGCTAAGGTTTTAGCAGCTAAGCAGCAGAACATCCTGGACTGTATAGGCAACAACCTCACATACTACAATATAATTCTGATGCTAACCCCCCAGAGTTAGGGGTCAGAACCTACAAGTAAGGACACAATTTCCAACAAGACTGACCTTACTTTAAATGCCAGCCACAAGTACAAGAATCCCCAGACATTCACATGCCTAACAAACTGGCTGTACAACCAGATGGTTCCCATGACCCTTATTATTTATAATTTACTAGAAAGACCCACAGAAGTCAGGAAAGCACATTACTTACTATTACAGTTTTACTATAGAAAATACAATTCTAAGCTGAGATTGTGGCTCAAGTGGTAGAGCACTAAGGCCCTGAGTTCAAACCCCAGTACCACAAAAATTAATTAACTGATTAATTTTTAAAATGCAGACTAACTAAAGAAGAGACAAATAGAGTAAGGTTGGAAAGGGTCCCATACCCTCTCCCTATGGAATCAATACATCATATTCCCAGCACACTGACATTTTTACCAACTAGGAAATTCCTTTAAGTTCTTACTGAGCTATCATTACATAGGCATGGTTGGTTAAGAGATTGACTGAATTCAATCTCTACCCACTCCCCTCAAGGATTAATATCAGTGACATCAGAGCCCCAAATCTAACCATACAATTGGTCTTGACCAACCCCATCTTGAGTCATGTCAGCATAATCTCAGATATGGTCCAAGGGTCCACTGTAAACAACAAAGGCACTCCCATTCCTCATGAAATTCCAAGGGTGAAACTCCCATCCAGAAAGTCAGGACAATGACTAAATACTTTATTATAACTTTGAATTTAATTTGGTGATTTAGGCTACATCCAGGAAAGTAAGTACAGATACTGTCATTCCTGTGGGTTAGGATCTCTGTTGATCTTGACCTCAAGTAACTATGGGAATACCTCAAGGCATAGAAACAATTCCATGCCCAATTGATCCTCCATCTCTTTTGTCTCTGCAGGTACTATGGCCCAGTCAAAACAAGGTAGGAGAAATCACTTCTTTCTCTTCTCAAACTAGGAGGAAATTCACAGAAATACGGCTTCCTACAACTATAGTACCACAAGAGGGAACAATTTAGAAAGGATGAAATATGGGAGATTAATAACTGATACCTCCATCATCAACCAAATTAGTACTTTTCTGGGCTCCATTCTGGGCAGCTTTTCTGTAACTAAGCAATTGTCTGATCCTTGCAATAGAAACAAGACCCTAGTACCTAAGTGTGTCTGTGAATAGGCAGCAACGGTAATACCTGGGAGCATGTTAGTAAAACCTCTCAGAACTACCTATTGGACCTGAAATTCTAGCATGATGTTAGAAGGTGATTTGCGTGCACATTAAAGTTTGAGAAACACTATTCTAATGTCTTCTCCTCGTATCCTGAGGCAGGGAGAATTTCCTTAATGGAACTATGGCTTTTCCCTTTTCAGGAAACTATTTAGTAAAAGTGGATGACAAGCGAGAGGATGGTTCAGCACTTTTGACTTGTGATGTGAAAGATGTGAAAGACAAAAATATCCAATGGTTCAAAGATGGGAAGATGATAAGTAATACAAGTAAAAATACATGGAATCTTGGAAGTAGTATCAAGGACCCTCAAGGAATATATTGGTGTCGAGACTCAAAGGGCACTTCACAGCAACTCCAAGTGTATTATAGAAGTATGTAATTTCCTTTGTTTTGTTTTGTTTGCTTGTGAAATTAAGCAATATTTATTGTTCCGGTACACTTACTTTCCAGGCAGAAGATGGAAATAGATGTTAATCAATAGCATGTCGTAAAAGCCAGTTACCTTATTCTCAGTTTGCCCGTTCTTAAATATAACAAGACAGTTCTCGCAAATTCTTGAAAAATCATAACTAGTCATGTTTTAAAACCTTCATATGGACTCCATGGATTGGAGCAGTTCAGTAATTTCTGTAAACTGAGTTGGGGCGGGGCAACATAGGAGAGGCAGCTGCAATGAGGAGAGAGGGCAGTTGCGAGTGGAGAACAGGACCCAGTCTTTCTTCTGGTCCACATCCTTCCTGATTGTAAGACCTAAAGGGTTTCTCCAGGACTTCTCAGTGAGGAACATTGAGAAATGTGTCATTCTTGGGGCAAGGATCCTCCTTTGACTGATGGGCAGTTGCAGATCTGGGAGGAAAAACCCTGAAGGAGGCTTGTCGCTCAGTGTACCTTGTTCCTCACAGTGTGTCAGAACTGCATTGAGATAAATGCATCCACTGTATCTGGCTTTATCTTCGCTGAAATCATCAGCCTTTTCTTCCTTGCTGTTGGGGTTTACTTCATTGCTGGACAGGATGGAATTCGTCAGTCAAGAGGTAAGAGAAGCCGGGTGTAGTGGTACTTGCCTGTAGTCCAAGCTACAAAGGAGGTTGAAGCAGGAGGATTTCAAGTTCAAGGACAGCCTGGGTAGTTAGTAAAACCCTACTTTAAAATAAAACTTTAAAAGGGCCAGGGGTGTAGCCCAATGGTAGAGCATTTGCCTAGCATGTGTAAGGCCTTGGGTTCAATACCCCTCCCGCCAAAAAAGGGAGTGTAAAAGAATGTGTTTGGCTGAGAGATGGGACTACCTGAGACCCTCAGCTTCTTTCCTATTAAAATAGACCCAATAGGAGAGACTCCCAATAGGAGCTGGTGTGTGTTGCTAATGTGCATTGTTAGGTGAGCTCTGTCTCTGCAGGACAGAAAGAAAGACAGTTGGCATTGTCCCAGCATATGTGCCTGTCTTAAGATCCAATTCCTTCTAATTTGTCCTCTGTGTTTTTAAAAAAAACTCTTTATTGAAACTTACATACAGAAAAGTGAATCAAGCATACAGGTCAAAAAAAATTACCAAAGCAAACAAACATATCCATGCATCCAGCACCCAGTTTAAGAAAGAAAATATTACCAACACCATTGAAGTAGCCCTTTGGTGGTTACTTCCAGCCACTACCCATCCCAAGAGTGAGCACTGCCTTGATTTCTGACAACAGGGATTAATTTTGCTTGTTTGTTTTCTCATGCAAATGGACTCACGCATTACATATTCTTGTGTGTGGCTTCTTTCAGTCGACAATATGTTCCTAAGGATGATCGTATCCTGTGTGCAGGTGATGCTTATGCCTTTAGTATTCCATTGTGTGAATATAACCTGATTTATTACCCATTCTATCTTGTGTATGTATAATTTTTCTGCTTTTTATGCAGCTTCAGACAAGCAGACTCTGTTGCCCAATGACCAGCTCTATCAGGTAAGAGATAGGAATGAAAAAGACATTGCTGGACTGGAGGTATGGCTCAAGCGGTAAAATGCCTGCTTTGCAAGCATGAAGCCCTGAGTTCAAACTCCAGTCCCACCAAAAAAAAACTAAAAGCAAAAGAGACATTGCTACAATTAGTAGGGGTAAACCTTTGGGATTGGAGGCAAGTTATTTGGGAGATACTTTACAGATAAAAAGCTACTTACAGCATTCCATGTGATTGGATAGCTGTCTTTTTGGGAAGAATGGGAGAAATAAAGAGAAGGTTTGAGAGAGACCAAGGTCAGGATCTAACGAGACGATGTAGAAGAATGTCTCCTATGCACAGAGCTTCCCTTTCCTCCTCCTATTCCTCCTCTTCCTCAGGCGCCTAGGACCTTGGAGCACCCACTCCAAAGCCTTACACATAAAAACCATTCAATAAATATATGCATCAAGTTAATTGAGGGTGAAAAATGAGTTTATCACTATGCTGTTCTTTTCAGCCCCTCAAGGATCGGGAAGATGACCAATACAGCCATCTTCAAGGAAACCAACTGAGGAAGAAGTGAGGTAAGGACTCAGAGTAGATAGGTTCTTCAACACCAATTCTAAGAAAACACCTTTGTACTACCAGCCCCTCCCAAGTATTGTCAAGTCTATCTCCCTTCCCCAAACACCTATAAAACTCAGTGTGTGTGTGTGCGTGCGTGCGTGCATGCGTGTGTGTGTGTGTGTGTGTGTGAGAGAGAGAGAGAGAGAGAGAGAGAGAGAGAAGTTGACTGTGGTAAAACTACAGGGATTAGTATCATTTGCCTTGACCTAAGAAAATATGGACACTGTATGTAGCTACGAATCCTCTTAGAGCAAGACCTCGAGCCATAGAAATGCTGAATAATATTCTTAACCTTATTGGGGTCTCTCAGCACGTGCACTGTAATATTTTGGGTCAGTTAGTTCTTTGTGCTGAGGAGCTGTCCTGTGCATTGCAGGAGTTACTGTAGCATCCTTGGCCTGTATACACCAGATGCCAGTAGTAATCCCAGTGTGACAAGCAAGTACATGTCCAGAAATTACCAAGTGTCCCCTCCAGAGAAAAATCACCCTTTGTTGAAAACCAATGGCCTATATTAACCTTTCAGTCAATCTGGCAATCAGTCAGAAGTTCTGATTCAATCACTCATCAGAAGATTCTATCAGGAATACAAGGCTGAAAGCATTATTTGGCTTTCTAACCAATTTCACTTTTTATTTTTCTATTCCAGGTATTCTGCCTTCTATCCAGTTCTCAAAATCAAAACAATATACTTAGAGAGCTCACTGCAGAGAGATTTTTTTCAGCCTTAAGTCTAAACTCCAGTTTCACAGAGGTGACAAATGAAAGGATTATAGAACAAATTTGGGTTTTCCTCAAAACAAAATAAAAGTCAGGGCTAGGGGTGTAGCTCAGTGGTAGAGCACTTGCCCAACATGTGTGAGGTCCTGATTTTCATTCACCAGCACCAGGTAAAATAAGTCAATTAAAAACAAGCATAGTATGGTGTTTCAGGAGCACCACCTATTGGAGGAAGTTGTAAAAGAAAAAGAAAAATATCAACCCCTCTATTGAGTAGAATCTTTTTGTTGTTTTTGGTTTTGGGTTTTTTTGGGTTTTTTTTGGCAATACTGGGATTTGAACTCAGGCCCTCCCACTTGCTAAGCAGGCACTCTACCATTTGAGCCACTCCCCAAGCCCTAAATAGAAAGATTTTTTAATTTTAATTTTTATAGAGTTTTTGCATAGGTCATAATTCTCATGGTTCAAATCTACAGTGAAAAGTCCCCTCCACCCCATCCCCAGCCATCAGTTGCCTTCTTCAGAAGCAAATTAGTTCCTTATATGTATTCCTGGACATATTCTTGGCATTTAAGAGCAAGTTCTCAAGTATACATTATTCTCCCCTGTCCTATTTTTCACCCAAGCTGATATAATACTATACATTATAATATTATGCAGCCAAAAAATAATTTATGTGTCATAAATTTCACCCACGTTGTGATTGTACCTGTTCTCAGTAATTTTTAGTAAATTTACCCTTCAACAGTTTTATTCTGTAATTAAATCACCAGTTTTAAAACATTCCTATCACTCTCTTAAGGTCCCTTGTGTTGTTTGCGGTCACTCCTTGTTCTCACCCTCAGGCCAAGGCAACAGCAAATCTTTTTGTCTGCCTTTTCTGAACATTTTATATAAACGGAATCAAACAATATGGGGTTATTATATCTTTTAATATGTCTCCAGGGTTCCTCCCTGTGGTAGTATATATCAGTATTCTGTTTCATTTTATTGTTGAATTGTATTTCATCATATGGATAGTCCGCACTTTGTTTATCCGGTAATGGACATTTGAATGAGCGGCCTCATGCATGTCTTTGTAGAAATGCTTTCATTTCTCTAGGGTAGATGCCTAGGAATGAAGAATTGCTAGGCCATATGACAAATTTGTGTTTAATCTTTGAAGAAATTGCCAAACCGTTTTCCAAACTGACTGTACCATTTTACATTCCCATATGTGAGCTCTTATTTTTCTGCTTCCTTGCCAATATTTGTCACTATCTATTTTAATATAGTCATTTAATATATGTGTAATGATATCTTTATTGTGGTCTTAATATGCATCTCTCTAATGACTAATCAGTATAGTCTCCTGTTTTATTAGCTATTTATATATCTTTATGAAATGTCTATAAAAATTTTTGCCCATTTTTTAATTGACTTTTTGTCTTCCTACTGTACAGTTGTGGAAGTTCTTTATAACTTTTGAGTACAAGTACTTTATCAGATATATAATTTGGAAATATTTTCTACAAGTTTGTAGCTTGCTTTTTCAAAAAAATTTGTGAGACAAGTGCTCACTCACTATGCAGCCTAGGCTGGCCTGAATTCTCTCCTGCCTCAGCCTCCTAAAGCTGAGGTTATGCCTGGCTTCTTTCTTTCTTTTTTTTTTTTTCTTTTCTTTTCTTCTTATAGCCTTGGGGATCGAACCCAGAGCTTTGCGTTGCACATACTAGGCTCATGCTCTACCACTGAACTACATCACCAGCCTCTTTTTACTTTTTTTTTTTTGGTGGGACTGGGTGTTTTGAACTCAGGGCTTCCCATTTGCAAAGCAGGCACTCTACCACTTAAGCCACACCTCCAGTCCATTTTGCTCTGGTTATTTTGGAGATGGGGTCTCATGAACTATTTGCCCACGCTGGCCTCCAACCTTGATCCTCCTGATCTCAGCTTTCCAAGTAGCTAGGATTATAGGCATAAGCCACCGGCACATGGCTTCTTTTTACTTTCTTCATGGTATCTTTTGTCTTTTGAAATACAAAAGTTTTGAAATTTGATGAAGTTCAGTTTATCATTTTTTTCTTTTTTTGTATTGTGCTTTTAATATCATGTCTAAGAAATCTTTGCCAAACCCATGGTCACAAAGATTTTGTCCTATGTCTTCTTTTTATAATTTTTAGGATGTTATTGTTTTAGCTCCAAAAACAAATGTCATTTTGAACATGTTTAGACTATTGATAATAAATAGAAATGAATGGAATTGTTAGGCCGCAATGATTTGCACTTGTAATTTTATTATATATTGCCAAATTCCACTTTATAGAGGTTGTACCAATAACAATAAACAAAGGGCCTTTTACTCTATGCAGGTTCCAGCAGTGTATTATTGAACTTTTTGAACTGTGCCAATCTAAGTTTAAAATGGCATCTCAGCATAGTGTTTGTTTTGTTTGTTTGTTCACATGAGGTCTCCCTAAGTATCCTAGGCTGGCCTTAACTCATAAACCTCCTGCCTCAACCTCCCAGTACTGGAGTTACAGGCATTCACCACCACAACTGGCTGTGGTTTCATTTTATACATTTAAATCTTTGGTTCATCTTGAATTAATTTTAATGTAAGACCTGACATATGAACCAACTTTTTCTTCTTTTGTTGTTGTGCTAGGTGGGGGTACATTGTGCCATTTACAAAAGTTCTTGCAATATATCAAATATATCATACTTGAATTGACATCCTCCACCATTCTCCTTCACCCTCCTTCCCTCCCTCCCTCCCCCCTGCCCCGGGAGGACAAACTGTTAAGCCAGATAGTTTTCCACTTTTTCCAGAAATATTTATTGAATGGTCCATCTTGTGACCATTTTATTTATTTGTTTATTTATTTATTTATTTAGCAGTACTGGGGCTTAAACTCAGGGCCTTCACTTTGAGCCACTTTGCCAGCCCTTCTTGTGATGGGTGTTTTTGAAATAGGGTCTCACAAACTATTTGCCAGGGCTGGCTTCAAACTGCGATCCTCCTGATCTCTGCCTCCTGAATAGCTAGGATTACAGGCATGAGCCACTGGTACCCAGCTCAGTGACATTTATTTATTTATTTTATTTTTGCAGTTCAGGGCCTTGCACATGCTAGATAAGCACTCTAACACTGAGCTATAACCCCCAACAGCTCCATTACCTTTAAATTGTACGTTACCACCACTCCACTCAACGGATTGTGAGTTCCAAGAAGGAAAAGATTTGGATTTTTTTCACTAGAGTTATCTTAAGGAACTAGAACAGTAGTAAACACTGAAAGATGTGCATAACATACAATTTAACATTTTAAACATTGTGATTGTTAATTTTGATTATTGACCTGGATTGAAAGACACCTAGGAAATTAGTAAGGTACACTTCTGGGTGTGTCTGTGAGGGTGTTTCCAGAGAGGATTAACTAAGAGGAAAAGACTAGCTCTAAATGTGGGTGGCAGCATCCAATAGGCTGGGGTCCTGCAGGTTACAAAAGGAAGAAGGAAATCTGCTAGTGCAGGCATTCTGTTTCCTGGCCACTGTGAGGTGAGCAGCCTCGGCTACACACTCCTGCCACCAAGATCTTTTGACTTGTCTTAAACCCAAAGCAATGGTTCCAAATGACCTTGGAGTGAAAGCAAGAGCCCAAATAAATCCTTTTGCATTTAAGTTGTTTTCTCAGGTATTTTGTCACAGTGATGAAAACTGCCCAACACAAGCATCTTTAAGTGTATTGTCTAGTAGCATCAAGTACATTCAACATTGCTATGCAGCCATCCCACTACTCAATCCCAGACATTTTCATCATCCTGAACAGAAACTCTATGCATTAAACAATAACTTACTAAACCCATTCTTCCTTCTCTTGGTAACCTTTATTCTGTTGTCTCTAAGAATGTGCCTATTAAAGGTACTACATGTAAGTGAACTCATACAGTATATATCCCTTTGTATCTAGCTTATTTCACATAGCATAATGTTTTCAAAGTGAAGTAGAAGCTCATTATGGTTTTGACTATCATTTCCTCATTGCCTACTGATGTTGAAGCTCTTTTTCATGTGTTTATTGGCCATTTGCTTATCTTTGAAGAAATGTCTGAGTCCTTTGCACATTTTTAAATTATGTTTGTATTCTGTCATTCATTTGTAGTTTTTGTTTTGTTGTATTTGGTTTGGGTGTTTTGTTGCTGCTGTTTTGCTTTTAAGATAGGATCTCCCTACATAGCCCAGGCTGCTCTCAAACTTGTGATCTTCTTCCCTCAGCCCCTCTTCCCACTGCTGGGATTACAGTCATGCCCACCACACCCAAAAAGTTGTAATTATTTATATGTTCTTGATTTTAATCCTTTATCACATATATGACATGCAACTATTTCCTCTCATTTCGTGAATTATCTTTTCACTCGCACAATGCTTTTTAACTCCTGAAAAGTATGCTGCTTCCAAAAATATTTGTGTACCTCAAAATATTTGTGTACATTGCAGGATGTATACTACTGCCCCCGTACAGATAAGAAAACTGAAATTCAACCCAAAAGAGCACACTTCCTGGCATCTAATACCAACTTTTAATGTTGTTATTGTTGCTACTGTTACAGCTTCACAGATAATAATCTATAAAGAGTAACAGAAACTGCCTCCAGGACACATAGGACTAGTGGAAAAATTAGAAAGCAGAAGCCCAAAGATCACAAAATTATATCTGCCCTCAATTCACGGATTTCCAAAACCCAGCATTCTATTTCACTAATCTCCACACCACAAAGCCAACAACCCAGCCCCACCCCCTAACCCAAATCCCAAAACCACTTCCGGCCACTTCCGGCCCGCCCCTAGTCCGCGGCAAGCGAGCCAGCGCATGCGCTGTGGGTGTGTTTGACCTGCCATTTGCCCTCGCGGGCGGACGCGCACTACTTCCGGCGCGGACCAGAGATTCCGTGAGCTCCGGCGCTGAGCGATGACGTCAGCTCCGGTTGCTGTGCTGAGTCGGAAGTGGGAACCTTTTGGCCCCTGAGATTGTGTCGCGTTGTCGCTGCTGGCCCTTCAGGCTCTGGTAAGAGGGAAGGTAGCTTGAGAGGAAGAGTGGTGGAATTTGTAATGAGAATTTTCTTTCTAGCGAGTACCAGTCCAGGCCTCTGCACGCTTGCCTTCTCCAAATTCCTTGTTTCCAGGCCAGAGACCCTCTCGTTCGTGAACTTTGACCCTGTCTGATTTGGAAACCCTTTCAGTGTTCCAGCGTCTGCCGTCTTTCTGCACACTTCTCGCCCTCTCTTTCCATGCTCCTGGAGAAGGCCTGAATATTGGCCTTGGCGTTGTCTTTTGACTTCTTTCTCTGCAACAT